TTTCCTCAGCTCCATTCCTCCCGCACCACATGCATGACTTTTGAAACCTCTCTTATCTAATTGCTAAATTACCAATTATCTCATTGTTCTTCGAATGAGTTGGCCCACTTTCAATTACAAGTTGATGACAGTTCAAAATCGTTTGTTCTCTCTTACATTAAATGACGAAATTGGCAAATAAAGGATTTGAAAATGCTGGTGCATGAGTCATTGACATTTGAAATGACCTGTAATGTCTAGACGAAAGACGAGAGTCGTATCCAAGTCGAGTCGGAGAACACCTGATACATTTTAAATACAAAGCATTATTTTTTTGTTTTTGTTATCGCGTCACGAGGCGAAAAGCTTGATATGTGCATTGAAAGCAAAACAAAAAAAACACCAATCGCCACAAGCTGACAAAGTTTATGGCCCTCTTTTTTTATTGGCATGCCACAAATCACTGGCGGATATTTACTGTAATTACGTGTTGTTGTTGTTTTCGATGAGTCAACAGATCAAACCGTCCAACGAGGAAAAAAATCCATTGATCACAGATGATCTTTTCCGCATCCAGATTAATCCTCGTCAACAAACAAAGAACATGATATTGTAATCCCACTCATTAATATTGATCAGCGGAATGATAAAGAGCCAGAGATTGGCAAGTGATAGCGAAAGTTTTGTCATTTCAGGCGGATGTCAGCTGTTAAACAAAACAAACTTGAAAATACAAAAGGATTTTGTGTCTTTGTTTCTTTTCTTTTCACAACAGAATAACAAATATTCGATACGGTGTGGTCAGTGATCATTGGCGATATCTGGTGGTTAAGACAGCTGATTATCGGCGATCACAAGGCGAAGTGAACACAACAACAAAAAAAAAACTGGCCTAAATCAAAATAAGGAAGACGCAAATTATCTGAACCGTCCCCCTACTGGGTTCCCCTGCTTAGCTTGTAGAGTTGCTAGTTGACACATGAATTTACGACTTCTTAAATGGGTTCCGCATGTACATATTTATGTATGTACGTTGTTGTTCGCGCTCGTTCCATGCGTATGTGTCATACCCATAGCCAGCTAAACAGGAAATTTTTGCTGTCGATTTTGTTTGGCCATACACATGTGAAGAATGAGCGAGCCAGCCAATCCGCCAGCCAGCCAAACCCGGGGAACAAGCGTGTAATTGCAACAGTTTTGGACTGTGTGTGTGCGCTGCCCCATTCTGGGCAATAATCAATTGAAATGTTCATGACAGATCATTTATTTATGTTCACTTAATGGTTGTGACAAGTGGGGGTCAATGAATTCATCGTCTCTGATTGAAATGAATAAAGTTTCATTTGGTGTCTTTTATTTCAATTTGAATATTTACAACATTGTCAACGTGCGTGTCCCCTCCTTCGGCCCCTCCCTCATCGAGTGATTCTTTCTCTCATTGTTGTTTTGGGGTTGAAGCTCACTTAATGTTTTGTGGAGATATATGTGAACCCATGCGAGGTGAGTGTGAGAAGTTTTTGGGAAAAATCGATTACAGATTTTCAGGGATCATAAAAAGATAAATTTATAAAATTTTATACCTGAAGCCACAAGGAGTGAAAACTCAGGACAATATTGTATTTCTAAAGCTACAAATACCAAAAAAAAAAAAAAAAAAAAAAACAGGATAATCCTTAGGATCAGAAGCTATATTGAAGTAGGAAGATCAAGGGAATTTCAATGGAAATTTTTAGATAATTATAGAAGACAAATATTCTATGAGATTTTTGGAACCAGATAATGAAATTTTTTATACCAACACTTATTATTGGAATAATAAGAGACAATAAAAATTGACAATTACTACTATATCTCCACTCCCCTCTCACAAGAGAGAAAAAAATATTTTTTCCTTAATTTCGCCTTTTTACCAAAATAAACCAATAATTTAAATAAGAGGGTAGAATACACGCATCTCTGCCAGTGCCACAGTGGAAAACTCAATGACCTTCGGTGTCTGTGTCGTCCGACAAATAATCGAGATTACCTATATAGTCTGAAGTTGATAAAAAACAATTACATATAGCAACCATGGACTTGGTTGGTCAATGTCATTTGCAGAACCACCAAAAAACAGAGATAGGTAAAGTTTTACAATAACAATAAAAGTGTACTCGCATTTCGGTGATAAGCATTTAACGTCATTTGTAACTGGGCGATAACGGCAATAAATTGAGTCATAATAGAATATGAGTTTGTACCCTTATGTCTGCGTTATCAGTTGATGGTTGACTTGTAGGAGGAAGAAGGTGTGAATACAGAACCCGACATTTCTATAGTATTTTATTATGTTATATTGCTATTTGAAAATATTTATTATCAAAAAAAGATTCAATTTTTTTGTCGAAAAAAAGTGAAGTATCGAAAATATTCGTTATCGACAACATTTTTTATAGAAATTGTTGTTTTTGACAACATTTTCTATAGAAATTATTGTTATCGACAACATTTTCTCTAGAAATTATTGATATCGAAAATATTTACTATAGAAATTGTTGTTATCGAAAACATTTTCTATAGGAATTGTTGTTATCGACAACATTTACTATAGAAATTGTTGTTATCGACAACATTTACCATAGAAATTGTTGTTATCGACAACATTTACTATAGAAATTGTTGTTATCGGCCACTTTTACTATAGAAATTGTTGTTATCGACAACATTTACTGTAGAAATTGTTGTTATCGACAACATTTTCTATGAAAATTGTTGTTATCGACAACATTTTCTATGGAAATTATTGTTATCGACAACATTTTCTATGGAAATTATTGTTATCGACAACATTTTCTATGGAAATTATTGTTATCGACAACATTTACTATAGAAATTGTTTTTATCGAAAATATTTTCCATTGAAATTATTGTTATCGACAACATTTTCTATAGAAGTTGTTGTTATCGACAACATTTTCTAAAGAAATTGTTGTTATCGATAACCTTTCCTATGGAAATTGTTGTTATCGACAACCTATTCTATGGAAATTGTTGTTGTCGACAACATTTTCTACAGAAATTGTAGTTATCGACAACATTTTCTACAGAAATTGTTGTTATCGACAACATTTTTTATAGAAATAGTTGTTATCGACAAGATTTTCTATAGGAATTGTAGTTATCGACAACATTTATATAGAAATGCATGTTATCGACAACACTTTCTATGGAAATTATTGTTATCGGCATTACATTCCATAGGCATTGTTGTTATCGAACCAATTTTTTGCCATTAAACATTTCCTTTTACGAGTTGCCACACTTTACAACCAAACAAAAAAACTTGTCATAAATGGCCTCCATGGCAATTAAATGAATTAATTAAAATGCAAAACGCGCTTAACGTTTTCAAAGATCAAGTTCAATGATATTGTCGTCGATTATTTTAATATTTTTTTCAACTCAAAAAAAATGCAATAACAACAAGAAAAACGGAATAAGTTTTATAAACGCTGACAATTGTGTTGGCGATGGTGGTGGTTGGGATTTTGGTGGCGGTGGCAGTAGCTGGCGTTGCTGCTGTGGCGGCGTTGATGGCTGGCATTTAATAATAACCAAAACACGAGAAGGAAAATCATCGGATAAAAACAGAAAAAAAAAACAAAAACATTTAAAATAAACGATGACTGAATAGAAAAAGTACTGACGTTGCACTGCAATGGATAATGTGCAGACAAAATGACGATACATGTGGATGGATATGTGTAGAAACAACAACAACAATAACTTCCCTTACGGCAGCAGACGAAAATTTTGCGAGGGGAGGTAATGGGTTGGGATATTACTAAAAAGTGAAAATAAATAAAAACGTAATACAAACAAGAAATAAAATATTTTCTAAAATATTTTCAAAATTATGGTAATAAATTAAAATTATTATGAATGTTTATAAAAATGCAAAACAAGAGAAAATAAAAAGAAATTAAAATAAATAAACAAAGAAATAAATAATAATAAATATACACACATACACGAACACACATACACAGTTAAACGAGAATTATGCGGATCCGGTAAAATCAATTTGTATCTGTGCCCCTACCGGTTATTCAATGAAACATATCTGAGATTTAAAACCGTGTTTTCGTCAATATTCTCAGTAGAAAATGTTGTTATCGACTACATTTTTCAATTAAAATGTTTTTATCGATAATTTGTATAAAAAATGTTCATATCGAAAGAGCTTTTCATATATCGTTGTGAAATTAATTGTTGTAATCGGTTGTAATCCAATGATATCGATAACATTGTAGATGAAATTCATCTTAAGGACATTAAGGCAGATTTTTCGATAAAAATTGTTGTTATCGACAACATTTTCTATAGAAAATGGTGTTATTGACAACATTTTTTATAGAAATTGGTATTATGGACAACATTTTCCAAACAAGTTGATATTATCGACAACATTTTGTATAGAAATTTTTGTTATCGATAACTTTTTCTATAGAAATTGTTGTTATCGATAACATTTTCTATAGAAATTGTTGTTATCGACAACATTTTTTATAGAAATTGCTGTTAGCGCCAATATTTTGTTAAAAAATTGCTGTTATCGACAGCATTGTGTTAAAAAAAATGCTGTCAACGACAACATTTTCGGTAGACATTTTTGTTATCGACAACATTTTCTATCAATATCAAATAGGCGTAATTTTATTTTTTTTTAAACCAAAAATTCCAGAGAAATTTCTTCAAAGGAAATCAAATTATTTTTTTTTCGCCACTGTATTCTCAAGGAATTTGGGAAAATAAGGAAAAGAAATGTCCACTTTCTCTTGTTAATGTTATATCATTTAAATGTCAGCAAAGTCCGTTGAAAGTATTTCATAGTCTGTAAAATTATTTTCAAAAAGGTCCCCTGTTTTGAAAATTTCGGTATATCCTTGCCCTTCTGATCCGCATAATTCCAGTTTAACTTATAACCAAAACCAAAATAAAATTAAACATAAAATAAATTAGAAAAAAAGCCAACAACATACCCCAAAAATAACTGTGTATGATCCGCCGGTGCCTGCTGATGATTGTGTACATTAAGGGTTTGGGGACGCATGTTGGGCGCCATTGAGGCTACCATTATTGCTGATGTTGAACTGCTGCGTATTGTGGTGCGAAAGCTGTATGCATGTGGATCAATTAGGGATTTAGCACTGATGCCATTGGGACTGAGGCAGGGTGGTGAGGGTGTTTTTGTGGTGATGGCGCCATTGCCGCCAACATAGGTTGAACAACCGCGACTGAAGGCCTTGTTGAATTTCCGGGCACCATTCAAAAATTTGTGTTTGGCGGAGGGAGAACCGCTGCTGCTGTTGCTGGCATTTGCACTATTTAAAGTGGCAGCGGTGGTGGCGGTTGTTGTTTTTGCTCTTAGGCCCATGGTGGTGAAGGTGTTGGGGGCTCTAGTTTTGTTTATTATTCAGGAGAGAGGTTATTTACTTTTTTTTGGGGTTCAAAACTGTTCTGTGTTTTTTAGTTTTTTTTTTTTTTGTTGCTTTATTTAAGTTTAACGGTATTCATTGCGGCGGCCAGTTTTATAACGTATCTCATGCTCTTGTTTCACGCTTCACTTGTTTGCCCAAGGAAAGCCGGAGGGTTTCTCTTTATCTTTAATATATATATTTTTTTTAAATTGTTTAAAGAAAAATAAAAAATTGTTTATTTAACATGAACTTTTTTGCAACTGGTGCTGCTACTTGATTGGTAGGTAGGTAGGTTGATAGTGGTTGGTGGGGGATGCAAAGTGATGTGGAAAATTGACAAACACACACAGAGAAAGCCACAACATTTATCACACTCGAAATGTTCCACGGCGAGAGATATACGTCAAATTGTTTATAAATTATTTAACAATAACAACAAAAAAACTACTACACAAGCTATTAAATTGTCAAAAAGCGCGCACAATACAACACAGACAATTATTACGAAGAAGCATTTAATTTAATAATAAATAAATAATTTCATTCAATTGTTGTCTTTTCAATACCGTCACATTGTGAGGAGGATGAAATCGGCTTCATCTCTTTTTTTTCTGTTTTTGTCCGTCCAGGTAGGTATTCTCTAATTACACTTTTTCACTACAATTCTCTTGGCTAACGAAAGATATGTATGACAGAAAACTTTATATATTTCTTTTTTCTGGATCCAAAGGAAAACAAAAACAAAATCGATTTTCTTTATGTCTATCATCAAAACACGTCCAAAATATATTTTTTTTTTTCAATTTTTTTCTTGCCTCGATGGTGAAGCTCGACAATAATACCAACCAGCAACGTTCGCGTTATGTATCGTTTGATTGCTTGGTTTTATTTCTTGGATTTAATTTTAGAAATGATTTTAGCAAAAGCTGCTACGACAACAGCGAGAGCAGACGGCAAAGCAGAAGGAGGGAGAAGCGCGTTCGAACCGTCCGTCGTCAACAACGTCTGAACACAACGGAGCAACAAAAAATGTTTGGTGTTGCTTTGATGGCTGTGTATTTTGTTTGTGGTCGCTTGTCTTTTGATTTTCTTGTTCTTCTTCTACTACTACTAGTAGTTAAGATCACAACCGCGAGAGTTCAAAACGGCAACAACAAAACAAAAAAAAAACCAAAATACCGTCAAAACGCAAAAAAAAACGAAACAATCTTAGGAATACCGCGTTATATGGCCGTTGTCGCCGAAGGCAAACATACGAATGAATGCCAGTCGTCGTATCGTTTGTAGCCGTCGTTCGTATATTTTGCCATGAATGAAGAATCCACTACAAACAAATGTCCATCGTACTTCGTCTCATTCAAAAAATAATAACAAAAACATTCGGCAGCCCGCACACACACACACACTTGCCTTGAAGAGGCCAAAACAAAAAGTATCTCAAAATATTTGTAGAGAATCTGAAGAGAGAGTATTGAGAAAATGGGAGAGCCCTGGGAAAGCAATGTTGATCGGTGCTCAGAGAAATGAAAATTGAAATCAGGGATGGAAGTTTTAAACAGTAGTACGTTTTAGAATATTTTGAGTACCGAAAGTACTTTTGTGGATGATATTCTACCACGATATAATTTACAATTATTATAAATACAGGATGAAATGAAAAAACTGCAACTAACTTTAGTAAACCAATCGTCCGACATTGCCATATAAAATATTCGCAGAACCTCCTAGAACTATTTTTTTTAACCACGGGACAAAATTCACAGATATAGCAAGAAAACTAGTAAAGAAAGGTCAAAAGTCAGGAGGGATCGACATTGTGATACCCTACACCACTATGCATATTTTGTAGAACTAACCGGCAAAGTTATTTCTAGGTTGCATCTGATATCTGGTAACAAATACAGGATGAGATGAAAAAATTGCAACTAACATCAGAATGCTGTCATTCCTAACCACTTGTCCGACAGCTGTTAAAATTATTTCAGTGATAGCTCATTATATTGTTAACAAGCGTACAAAAGCATTTTGGTGAGAATTTTCCAGAAAAAAAGTTATTCGTGATGGAATTCAAGCGTGATAGTGTGATTTCTTTATATTTGGATGGAAAACCACAAGGGGCTATCGTTAGGGAACTCCAGCATTTAAATGTAAATAAATCTTTTGTGTGTCGTACCATCGCTCGTTACCGTGATACTGGTAGCGTAGCCCGACGTCAAAGAAGTGGACGGAAGGAAACAGCAACATCAGCAGAAATGGTTTGAAAAGTAAAGACGGGACTTGATTGTAACCCGCGTGGCAGTGGCCGAAAAATGGCTCGTGAGCTGAACATATCGCAATATTCTATTCGCCAAATATTGAAAAATTAGCTCAGAGTAAAGCCATTGAAATTCCAAAAGAGCCAAAAACTTACACCTCAGCAGAGAAAAAATAAACTTAAAAGAGTTAGAGAGTTGCTTCGCATGGCCGAAAGTGGTGAACTGTCGAATTTGGTTTTCTCCGATGAGAAAACATTCGTTGTCCAGCAGTTTGTAAACAAACAAAATGATCGTGTTTACTTGCCAAAGGGGTCAGCTGAAAATTTGCACCTTCGGTGATGGTGTTGGCCGTCATAACAACCGATGGTCGCTCTCCACTCGTATTAATCGACCGTGACATCAGAATAAGTGCCGAATATTATCGCGAAAATATTCTGGAGGGTGTATTAAAGCCTTGGGCACGCAAAGATATTGGCTGCAGACCTTGGACATTCAATAGGACTCAGCACCATCGCATTCAGCACGCGCCACCCAAAAACGGTTACAAAATGAGGTTCCTCGCTTCATTTGGAGCGCACAATGGCCACCAAAATCTCGGGATACCAATCCGTTGGTCTATTGTGTCTGGAGTATTTTGGAAAGTAAGGTTGGCACTAAAAAATACTAAAGTGTCGATCACCTCAAGCAAGCGCTTCGTCGGGAATGAACCAAAATACCGCAGAGCAACATTCGGGCAATCAGTGACGGTTTCATTGGCCGTTTGAAGGCCATAATTCGTGCCGAAGGTGGCCAATTCGAACAAATCTAAACTTATTCTAAAATTTGTTGCTATTTCCGACATTTTTTGCTTTCATTCAATAACATTAAAAAAATTGTGAAAATTATGGCGTTTGACTTTGTTGCAGTTTTTTTATCTCACCCGGTATACTAAACATGGTGTTTAGTGTTCATAAAATGCACCACCTTCTCTGGCGATAGTTGGCTGTACAGGTCCACTTTTTCGTAAAATCCCATGAATCTTTAACACCTTATATTCGGAATTTTTAAAATTATACCGGCTTTTTTCAACGGATTTTTAACATTGAGCAATTTTATAATTTTTTGTCAACCAAAAGCAACTTTTTTTTGGATAAGTAATGGAGGTTCTGATCCGCAAACCGAGTACTATCAAATCTACTTGGAATATTCCACAAATCAAACTTGCTTCTGTTAAAAACGAAATTCTCTCACTTTTCAATTCGAAGACATAGACCCTGACTCCCCAAGTATTCCATAATTCGAACAGCATGTTTTTGGGAATCAATAATGTTTTCTGAGTTCAAAAAATGCTAATCGGTGTAAAAAATGTAGTATATTATCTTATTATATTATATTATATCTGGCAAATTAAATTCTGAAAATTTTGCAATAGACCCACCTACATTTCACGACTGAAAGACTCATTGCTAGATCTTCCCTTTAGAAATTTTTCATTTCGTCTTTTGTTACTTGGGCTCGAAAGACAAAAATAATAAATTTAATTTTAGTCATGGAATTTCAGGCTCAATAACCAAAACGTCTAGAATTTTTCTTCAATATCTCTCCCAGCCATCCTCCCAAGAATTTTTGAACTTTTCAAGAGAAACAATATTAACCTGGTTTCTTCTTAAAATAACTTTTATATATGATCAACAAATTGCAAAACAATAATGAGTCAACATAGATAATGATTTCATTTTATCTTACAGCGGCTAATAAGGAACTACGAGAATTGTTGTAAACTCAGTAGCTATCGAATCAAAGAGTCATTCCCTGAGATTTGCTGTTACGCAAAAAAGAGTACAGCAGAGGAGATATCTGCAAATACGCAATATTTTTATAGAGACAGTTTTGTAATCTGAAGTTAGCTATCATAATTTCTGGGAAAATGTAGGCCGAATCACTGAATCAACATGGGAAGACAATATTTTCTTCTCATTCAGTCATGATGAATTTCTAGGGTATAGAATATTAGGTTAGAGGCAATTATTCCAGAATATTAATGATAGGGTAAGAGCATCGATGCCATCCATTGACATTTTCTCTTTTTGACTTTTTCCCTATGTCAGCCGAACCTTTGGAACCCCTATGCAAAAATAACTGTTCCTGTATGAGGTCGAAAACTTGTCTCATACAAGGATGGGTACATGAGCATCGTGTACTTGTCTTCAAAACCATTTTATATTTCAAATCTGAGCCTTATCCCAGCACATTGCACAAATAAAGAAATTTCTTCAAGCAACCCAAGACCTACAGCATTTACACGTGTAATCTTAACACTTTTCCAACTGAGAACCAAAAGATAATCGTATTTTATTATTCTTTAAAATTGCTTCTCACAGTCAACATCTCAACCTGACACAGTTGCGTAGATAAGAAAATGTAAGAGGAAACCAGAATTTTCTTTTACCTGAGCGTAGAGGTCATAAGATAAGGTGTTGTGAAATGGCCATGTTGGGCAAATGTAGCGCACAATGAATTATGGTGATACGTTCTTTACTCTATTAGGAGAGGAAACTCGTACAACACAATGACGTAGCAGGGATGGAAAAGTGGAATCTAAGAAAATTTAATAGATTTTTTGGTCCATTATTTTAAAATTTAAAATGAATTTATAATTTATTCAAAGAGCTTGAAATATCTCTCGGTTTTTATAGAAATTCGTCCATCAATTAAAGACCACACAAGCCAATCTATCTGCAGAAGGTTTGTAATTTGTGATAATGTATTCAATCTGTGGAAAGCCTACATAAAGACCCAAAACAAGGTAAGGTACGTAAAAACCGTTTAAAATTCTACCTTAAAGAACTTTTTATATCCTCTGGACCTTCAGAATACCCTTAGTAGATATCCATTCTTAGAGAGCAATTCCAAAATCTCGACCTTTAAGACGTCTAAATATCAAATTGAA